GGAGGAGGCCTGGCCGCAGCCCTAGCGAGCGGAGTCTTGGGGAAAGCGGCTTCATACACTGATGAGCACAAGACAGTGGGCAAGTGCTCCAGCAAAGGTGTGACGATGTGTGACATGTTGGGAGCCCCGAGCAGGGTAGGATAAATTCTCGCCCAAGGAGTAAAAAGAGGATGGCTTGAGGGAGGAGATCACAGCTGAGCTAGGCCTTTTAAATAATGAATAGGAATTGGCTAAGCCCACAGCTCCATGCTGCCAAGTTCTCATGCAGCCCAACATACGCAGCCCTGTACACTGCTGTGACCTTTGCTTTTTAAAATTCTCTGTTCCCCCTCCTTCACCCCATACTCCCTCATGGACAGTTCCTCCCGCACCTCCTTTCCTACCCAGTTCCCCTTCCTCCTGTATCCCAGTGATCTGACTTCAGCCCTGTGCTCTTCCTCGTTCTAGTTTCCTTACAGGTCACTAGCACAGCGTCAATCACCCCTTCACTGGCTCACTCCTCCTTTGAAAGCATCAGCCCCAAGCCCGCTGGCCCCACTGCATGGATTTCCCTAAGCATCTATAAGTCAACCTCTTTAATGTAAAACTCAGTATCTACCTTTCCGAACCAACTTTTTTTGCCTGGTTTCCTATTTCTTATTCTTTCCAGTCGTGGAGGGCCCACTGTGTTATAGGCGCTGTACAAAGCACTGGAGAGACAAAAGGGTGCAGTCCTTGCCTCCAGGAAACAATCCCCTGGGCTCCGGTCCTCAGTGACATCTTCCTTCCTCCTTTTCCATGTCCAGTCTCCCTCGTATGTGCCCGATGCCTTAGCCCTGCGGCTGTTACCACCATGCCCCACTCAAGGCCCTGCCATAGCTTTCCGGAGGACATCTGCCTCCAATCCCATGTTCTCCCTCGCCATCCTATACTTGGTCACCAGTGTCATCTGCCTACGGCAAAGCCTTCCTAGGCTCCTCCCTGCCCAAACGCCTCCACTGGGTCTCCCCTGCTTGTTTAATGAAGTGAAACACCTCATCCAGACTTTTCAAACCCTCATAATCTAGGCCCAACCTATCTTTTCAGCCTTATCTTCCAACACTTTTCTGCATATAAATCTGTGCCTTGAGTTCTGCCCTGTCCTTGGCCTTGATCATGCCTCTCCATGTGTTGAAATCTACCCATTCTTCCAGGGCCTGACTCCAAGGCAACTCACTCTACGCACCTCTGATCCCCTCCAAACCCCTAGCAGAAGCGATCTCTCGCACCCTTCAATCCCCATAGCTCTGTGTTACCTCTTTAGATACTTAACACATATAGTCTACACCAGGCTCTGGACTTAGGAGGGCATCCATCTACAGCCTCCAATGTGACTAACGCTTGCTCAACTGCTATCTGTGAATAAGTAAGCAGAGGTGAGTCATAGAATACCGTGGTGGAAACTGACCAGTGGCATTGAAGGGCCTTGTTCTTTCACCAGGTTGCTCGGGTTGGCCTTCTCAGAGCTGGCTGGGATGCTTCCACAGCCCCACTGGAGAAGGTAGTCTTCAAGGTCAAAGAGCTCACTGCTCAGGACGTCTACCTCTGTACTTCTGTGCCCCAACTGATTCTCTTGAGCACTTGTATTAGAAATAACTGGATCTTTCTCCCACTTTGCCATCTACAGGCTAAAAAACTCAAGCTATCATACTCGTCTTTTCTAATTCAACTCCCAGGAAACCCTTTTGCCCTTCTACATTCGTCAAGGCCAGGAGATACTCACGTTCAGGGATGGAAGCATTATGAAGGTTGTTTCCTGAAAGCCGGGCCTGAAAGGCAGAACTGAAGAAGCCATCGCCAGGACCACTGGGGGAAAGGAGGAGCAGAAGAGAGCCAAGTTAACAGAATGAAATTGTGATTTCCCAGGAGCCCCAGAAAGAGCCCTGCTCGGTTAGTGTAAAAGAAGTATAACCAGAGTGGCAGTGTAGTATTGTGAGACAGACACAGGAGATGGAATAGGAGAAGCTTGAGTCCCAATTCCAACTCAGCCCCTTACTTGCTAGGCGACCTTAGGAAGACACCTTTGTTTAGCCTTAGTTTCTCATTTATAAATTGGGGGTTTAAAGCAAATCAAAAGAATTCAAAAATGATTATGATTAAATGAGGTAATGTGTACAAAACACTAAACATAGTTTCTGACAGTAGCTGCTCGCTAAACAGGAGCTGCTGCTGGTGTTATTGTTATTATCATTACTCAATTGCACACCCTTATGGCGGCCCAACCCTGTTAAGCACAAGGGGACTTTGCTAACGGTAAGGGGCAGTTTGGCTATTAGGAAATTCTCCTCTTCCTTCAGGTTATACTTCTGGTCTTCCTGAGCGCTCTGGATAGAACATGGGAGGAAACAAACAGGAAAACACCCCCTCCTATCATCCCAACAAGGAAATCGCACGGCCCATCCGTGGGCTTGGAGGCAAGACGAAGACCCGAGCGGGGGGCTGGACAGGCTCTGCTGTACCTTTTATTCAGCAGCATGAAGTGAATGGCGTAAGTGGCCGTGTAGAGAGCCAGCGGCAGCACTATGAGGCACAGGATGCGAGCAGTCAGGTGTTTTCCCATAGTCACCTGCAAACAGAGCCAGTGTGGGGTGCTGGACAGAGGGGCTTGGTTAGTCTTTAGACCCTATATGGGCATTATATGTAAGTTTTTTATGTATGTTAAGTTATAATGATAAAAAACTGAAAAATTAACAGCCAAAAAGAAAGAAGACTATGTGGAAACCCTGAGCCTTTCCATGACATTCCACTGAAACAATACAGGAGACTGAACACAGGCCAGCCCTCTGCTGCCTGTCCAGGCCCTCACCCAGACTGTCACTGTGTCACTGATAGGGCGCTGCCTGTACCTTCAGCACTGACTCATCAGTCCCTGCTATATCCCAGTCACCCTGAGTCCTTGCATTTTCCTCATGCTTCCTGTATTGTGCCAGCCCCACTCAACAGGCAGATAATTGCTCCTTATTTTAACTTCAGGCTTCCGCTTCCTCCCAGCAGCCCTCCTAGATCATCTGAGGCTGGGTCCATACCCTCCTCTGTGCTCTCACAGCACTTGTAGGCTGGGTTGTAATTGCCTGTTTATTTATTTCTCTCTGTCCATTGTCTCTAGCGGGCAGGGATCTTTGTATTTTTCATCTGCATATTGTGTCTCACACTTAGTGGAATAGTCTAGCTATGCTTTCTAAATGAATAAATGAACCTATTGAGACTTGGTTCAGAGGTAATGGAGAAGCATTATGGTAAAACAGTTGCAGCTTAGAGTCAGCCTCCCCTGAATCTGAACTTTAGATTGGCATCTTACTACCTGTATGACCTGGGGAACATTGCTACCTCTCTAGGTCTCAATTTCCTCATTTATAAAAAAAGGGTAATACCATATTTTGCCGTGTATAATGCACACTTTTTTGGCCAAATGTGTGAGAGAAAAATAGGATGCACATGACACATGGGTAGTACTAATTCCATATCTATATAAATGTTTTTAATTCTTTTATTTATGCTTATGAGTTAAAAGTGTAATTCTAGAAATCAATAACGATATCCATATGCAAAATAATACCCTGGAATACGATAATTGGTTTTGTTGACTTACAACGAATTTGCAATAACGAAGAGTTCTTGGCCTTTTACAATGAGTAAATATCGTAAGTTTGTCACTGGTACCTTGTATCTGTTCTTGTGTTTTGTAATTATTTGTTACATAAATTTCTTATACCATAATATGTTAAAAAATAAATGCTAGGGCTGGCCGATTGGCTCAGTTGGTTAAGAGTTGGTTTGGGAGCACGAGCTCTGAGCAGCAAGCCGGTTCGGTTCCCACATGGGCCAGTGACACTGCGCCCTCTACAGCTAAGATGGTGACCAACAACTGAACCTGGAGCTGGGCTGCTGTGAGTCGCCAGCGACGGTGTAGGCTGCAGTGAAGCTGCAGTGGGCAACCGTGAGCTACTGTGAGTAGCTGGCTGGCAGTCAGAGTGAACTGCTGTGAGCCACAGTGAGCAGCTGTCCAATGGCCGGCGAGCGACTGCCTCAGCTGGGAAGAGCGCAATGATCACAATGCCAACATGGGCCAGTGAAGCGACGTCCTCCACAACTAGACTGAAGAACAAAAGGACAGCAACTTGTCTGTTTCCTTTCCCCGATTCCCCAATGCTGTTCCCCTCCCCCAATTCCCCAATAAAATCTTTTTAAAAATAAATAAATAAATGCTAAAATTCCTTTATAATACAAAAAACAAGTACCTAAATGTAAACAAATAAAAATTTGAATTAAAAAATGAAAACAAAGGATTTTTTCCCTGAAAGTTTGGGCCAAAAACGTGGGTGTGCTTTATACATGGCAAAATACGGTAACTATCTACCACATAGGATTATCATAAAAATAAAATGAGATAAGGAAGATAAAGCATTTTGCATAGTGCCTGGCACAGAATCAGCCCTTAATAAATAATATTGTAATAAACCCTACAGGCCCTTAGTGGTCTCCAAATCCGGAGGAAAAGAAAACTGTGAGTTAAGAAAAGTCATCCCACCCATTTCGCCTAAGGTCCCATACAGTCAGTGTCTGCCATATATTTGGCATGAGCCCAGCTGGACAGAATCACCTGGCCAGATAGTTTGTAGAGCATTTAAAAAACATTACAGAAACAAACGCCAAAAGAGAGTTCCCAGGATGTTAGTCCATCGTCTCCCTTTATACCTCTCTAGCCTCTTGGCCGTGGCCCACTCCCTGCTGTCATGCTGCCTACAGAAGGCAACTGGATCCAGCCCCCCTCAGGCCCAGACAAAGCCACTCTGCCGTGTGCAGCAGAGGCTGAGAAAGGGCACTGGCTTTGCAAGCGATACTGGGGAGCAGATACATTTCTACAAGCACTTGGGTTCTCACCAACGAAAGACTGAGGTCTCCAAACAGGTGCCAAAGGTCTGAAATGGTGTTCCACCCCACTTGCAGGATGATAAAGAGGCCAACAAACTTGACTCCTAAAGCACCAGCCAGATTAATGCCAGTCAGGCTGAGCCAGAACCACCAGGGGGCAGAGAAGGGCCTGAAAACCAACAAGACACGGAGTTCAGTTTGGCAGCTGGAACCAAACCCAAAAGCAAGAACAACAAGCAGGAAAGGGCAAAGGTTCTCTGACTCTCCAAGGCTGTGCTGTGCCCTCTATTTGAGGGCTCCTAGCCTCAGGGGACCATGGTGGCTCTGAGGAGGGTGTGAGCTGTGAAAACCCTGAAACTGCAGGAAGCACAAGCACGAGAGTGAGGAGGACCTTTTTCTTGGAAGAAGGGTCATAGCTTTCCTGGCTAAGTACAGAACTTATAGCAAGCAAGAGGCTTATTCCTCAGTAGTGACCCATCATGTGGGAGTCAACGGAAAATCCAGAGAAGCCCGTTGGACTCAGTCGGGCCTCTCCTTTGTGTCACCTTGGGGCCTTGGAAAAGCCAGCATTTATTGAGTGCTTACTATGTGTCAGGCACATTCCAAGTACTCTACACATATTAACTCTTTATCCTTAACTCCATGAAATAGGTCCTATTATTATCCTCTTTTTCCACGTAAGGAAATCAAAGTACAGAGAGGTTAAGTAATATAACCAGCAAGTGTTAGAGCATGGTTCCAGCCCGGGAGTGGGTTCCACAGTTCGCTTTACTTACAGCATCTAGTGCTCTGTGCTGCAGTTTTCTGATTATCTGGCTGCCACCCCTACCAGAGTGAATGCTCCTTAACAGCTAAGACTAACTACCTCTGTACTTCCAGCTCCTAGTACAGTGCCTGGCACATAGTATGCATTCAAGAAATGGCAGGTGGAAATGGATGCAGGAGAAGAAAACCCAAAGCCAGAGAGCTGGTAGCTACTGGATCAGGCTTTGTTAGCATACCACAATTTAATGAGCTTTGCCATGCCATGGTGAAACCAAGCTGACTTCTGAAAAAGCCTAGGCAGAGCCAGCCCTTTTGGTTTAAATAGAAAGAATGACTGATTCTACTCTCTCACAGGCAGGGGCTGATCTGGAAAAGACTATTCTGGGGGAAGACAGGCCGTCCAGAACAACTTTAGAACTGACCAGGGCCTGCGGGGATCCCCTTGACTGCTCTGGACCATTCAAACCAAATTTACATACATTATTCCCATCGTTAGGTCAGGACTATGGAACCACTCAGGGCAAGGGGACAAACAGTTTCCAGGCAGTATCTATTCTGGTGCCCTCCCCTCTAGGACAGATAATGTGAAGGATAAAGCTGTCCTAGGATCTGCTATCTAGCATCAGTGCCAAGATGTGCTTTATAAGATGGTGAGTGGGGGGGACGTATTAGGACCCCCTCCATAATATCCACAAACCCCTACCTAAATCCATCCCCATTACAAAAAGAGTAATATTCTTGAAAAAGACATTGACATTTTCTTAGTCTTATATAAAGCAAAAATAGAGGTATCTATAGAAAACATTTTTAAATCTATTTTTTATGGTATTAGTGGGTAATCTAAGTTAATTTTAAAAAAAAAGTTGGCTTGCCTTAAACTGAGCTTCAAGACAATTCCTCTAGGCACCCACCCTGTCCCTGGCCATTATAGAAATTCTGGAGCTGCCACAGCTTCTGACCCCCCACCTGTCCAAAGATGGTGTTTCTGACCTGTCAGCACAGGAGTTGTACTTGACCATGCTCAGCATGGCAGCCATGATGAAGAACAGCAAGATGGGGTCGAGGAGGATGTACTGGGACAGAGTGAGGCATCCTGTGTCTGAAAAACATGAGCTCAGTGGTCAAAATGTAGAATGAGAGATGGGCTCCCCTGAGAAGCAAATTCCTTAGCAATAAGAAAGCGTCCCTGCTTGCGCTTAACTGTACGTAAGCATTTGTGCAGTCAAGACCAGATGGGCCACTGAGTCATCGCTGAGTCTTGAGAGAGGTGGGAGATCACAGCTTTGGGGCACACCAAAGCCCAGTGATATGAATCAGTATCTCACACTGCTTCCAGGCCCTTGACCCAAGAAAGGAGCAAGTCATTCATTCAGAATAGAGCAGTCCTGAGATGAGAGCTCTTGCTCATTTCCACCATCAAACAGGGAGTTCTGCCACCCTGCTGATACAGCCACAAATGACCTACACCCAGGATAGAGTCTTACCATCTTACATGAAGTCTCTGGTGGGAGTTGATTCTCCATACAGGTGCCAAAGTGATTTTCTTAAAGAAACTTTATTACATCATGCCCCTGCTTAATCCCTCCAATGTCTTCCCACCTCATTCAGACCAACAAACTCCTCATGACATTGTCAAAGCCTGCATGGTCTCTCCCTCATTCAACCTCCACTCTCTGCCTCACTCACTCCACTCTGGCCACACTGGCCATCCTGCTGTTCTCTGAGCTAAGTGTTGCCTTGTACCAGGACCACCACCCATGCTGTTCCCTCTGTCTGAACACTCTTCCCTCGGGTCTCTGCATGGCGGAATCTTTTGCTTCCAGCAGGTCTCTGCTCAAGGCTGCCTCCTCAGGAAGCTCTCCATTGACTGTCCCACCTAAAACAGAATGACTTTCCGCTACTCTGTCCTTTCCCCTACTCGTTTCTACATCGCACTTATTGCTTAGAATGTTACATTACAGACTTATTAATTTACTTGCCTATTGTCTGCCCCACTAGTGAGTAAGCTCCAAGACAAGAGAGTCTCATCAGCATGTCCTGAGGCCAAGAAATGTGGCCTAGCACAGAGTAGATGTTTTAAAAATAGTTTTGAATAAAAAATGAATAAATGACAGAATGAGTAACTGAAATGGAAAATTAAAAAGACACATGAGGGCCGGCGGAGTGGCGCATTGGTTAAGAATTGGCTTGGGACACCAGCTCTGAGCAGCAGGGCCTCAGTTCAGATCCCACATGAGGGCCAGTGACGCTGCGCCCTCTACAGCTAAGATGGTGAACAACAGCTCGACCTGGAGCTGGGCTGCTGTGAGTCGCCGGCCACGGTGTAGGCTGCAGTGGAGTTGCAATGGGCTGTTGTAAATCTACTGTGAGTGGATGGCAGCTGGCATGATCGGCCAGCAGCCGGTGTGAGCTGCCGTGAGCAGCCGTCCAGTGGCCGGCAACCGATCTGCCTCACCCGGGAAGAGCGCAATGATGATACCAACATGGGCCAGTGAAACGACGTCCTCCACAAATAGACTGAAGAACAAAAGGACAGCAACTTGTCTGTTCCCCTTCCCCGATTCCCCAACACTGTTCCCCTCCCAATTCCCCAATAAAATCTTTAAAAAAAGAAGACACAGGGCCGGCCAGGTGGCGCGATGGTTAAGAACTCGCTTGGGACGCCAGAGGGCCCCGGTTCGGATCCCACGTATGAGGGCCAGTGACACTGCCCTCTACAGCTAAGATGCTGAACAACAGCTCAACCTGGAGCTGGCCTGCCATGAGTCGCCGGCGACGGCGTGGACTGCAGTCCCTGTGGCAGTGGATTGCCATGGGCTACCGTGTGTAGCCAGCAGCCAGCGTGAGCGGCCAGCAGCCGCAGTGAGCGGCCGTCCAGAAGCTGGTGACTGATCTGCCTCGCCCAGGAAGAGCGCAATGATGGTGCCAACTTGGGCCAGTGAAGCAACATCCTCCACAACTAGATTGAAGAACAAAATGACAGCAACTTGTCTGTTCCCCTTCCCCCAATTCCCCAGCACTGTTCCCATCCCCCCAGTTCCCCAATAAAAATCTTAAAAAAAAAAAAAAAAAAGAAGACACAAGGAAAAAGTCACCAGTCTTCTACAGAGAGGCCCTATAATCTTGCAACATACCTATCAAAACAAAGCCAGAATTACCCCTAAAATACCCACCTACATTGGTCTGGACTTCTTTAAATGCTAAGCTCTATGAGGTCATGAATTCAGAAGAGCAAGGCTAACAACGGGATAGATTCTTATGGATCAATTCTCATTTATCCATGTGAGGATTTTCCACAGAAAATATTTAAGTTCCCATTTTGTTATCCCCAGCTACCCAGCTACTGCTGAGCCATCTGCCCTTGCATTCAGTTGAAATTAGTTTAAGGAATGCAAACTAATCTTGATAGCAACCTAAGAAAAGCAGAATTAGAATTGTAAGCCACCTTCAAACACACACACACACACACACACACACACACACACACACACACTTATTATCCAATCCAAACTCAAATGTGGATAACTTGAAGATAATCTATTCTTTGGGATTACCCATGCCCACTCTCCCCTCCAATAAACAAAGGTTTGCTACATACTTGTGTGCAAGTGTTACATATATAATGTGAATAAAATGAGATTTGTAATACATTTACCCAATCCTAAAGTTACTTAAGAACTGGGCTCACCAGCACGACCTTTTAACTTTTAACTTATTCATTTCCAGCTACAGTCACAGAGTGGCAATCAATTTCACAAGAAATGTGGTATAAGACAACTTACCAAAGGTGAGAAGAGCAGCAGCGAGCAGTGCTGCTGGGAGGGACCTGGAAAGCTCCAGTACAGTGAGGTAGGCAAAGGGGATCATCAAGGAACCGAGGAAAGCACAGAACTATGGAAGGAAAAGAGAAGCAGTCAAATAGCCAGCTAAGCTAAGTCTCAGGGACCTACTTGACTCAGCACAAACTAATGTAATGTTTAAGATGGAAAACCCTAAGGAAGGCATGACTTGGTGACCTAAAATCACCTGGAATATGTATAAATGAAAAAAGGGCGGTATAAATCAAGCAACATTTATGTTTCCATTAAGCACCAATTTTTGCACTGACACAAAATCAGCAAAGTTCAGCCAGGAAGGTGTGGCAGGATGGCACACTGGTTTCAAATGGGGGATAGACTGCCCCATCACTGCTTGCTGTGACCCTGAGAAAGTCACATCTGTCTCTGTATCTCAGCATCCCCATCTGTGTAATGTGAAGAATAAGAGTTCCTACCTCATAGGGTTTACTCCGAAGATTAAATGGCCTAAAGTTTATTAACACACAGGAAATACTGGATAAACATTAGCTTCTATTACAAAACTGTGGGTACAAGGTAAGGAAAACTTCTCTGAAGGTGTTTTAATATTTCAGACAATTCTAAACGCATTGCTATTATTTCTTCCTTGGCCCTTTTCTTCAGTCATACCAGGAATCACAGATTGTGTTTTGATTTTGGAAAAAAGATTGCTTGACACTTCATTATCTGGAAAGTTTGTTTTGTTTTGTTTAGAACTACCAGCCTTCTTTCCATCTCCCTACCCTGTCCATCAAAAGTAAACAGACAAACCCAAGAGAACGGAAATTCTCACATTTGGGTTGTCACTTTTTGTTAACAGAAAGCAACGTGCCCTAGTATGAAAGGGAATGAGGCTGTTATATTTAGCCTTCTCAATTTCCATAGCAAGTTCATGGTGAGTCAGGCCTATATCCAATTATGCATGCTATGTGGTGTTCAAAAGTCATTATAAAGACACAGAATCACTTAAGAATATGAACTTGAGGGTATGGAACTCACCTCGTTTCATACGGTATATGACCACGCAAATCGTCCAAAGATTAGCCCAAATAAGCATTTAGCGTTTACCTAAAGTACAGCCTGCTCTGAGAGCTCCACGTTGGAGGTCAGTTTCTTCAGGCTTCATTAGGTACCCATATGGGATCCCTGGAGTTGGGTGTTTAGGCCCTGCCCTTGCTCCATCAGGGCTGGTACTGGGACTCAGGGCACAGAGGGACTAGGCAAACACATGACCTCCCATCAAAGACTGAAAAACCCCTTGTGTGTGCCTGAAGCCAGTATGGGAAAGAAGTAGGACCTGGTGACAGGGGCGTGAGGATGCCGAAATCTTAGGAAAAGGCCCTCTGAGGGAGACAACTAATATTCCAGCAATCGTGGTTGGAGAGACGAAGAACATGGAACTTGCCCATGTGCTGAGGCCAATGTCGGGGCTGCAGGAGATGCCTGGCTGCTCTCCAACCTGTAGTCTGATGCCTCACATGGGCAGGATAACAGGACACAGGGAGGACTTGCTCCCATCTATGTCATTTCCGTATTACCTGTGGCCCCCCCTTCCCTTCTTACCCATCTTATTTCTGAATCTCTACCACAGGGTATGGGTCCAATCGTCTTTCCCCTTCCCCAAAATCCATTTATTTACACCCGCCACCACTCCAGGGCTTCTAACTGTAACACTGCTGACTGAATATGTCCCCGGGGTTCAGTGAGGCTATATCAAGTCAGGAAGCCTTACTCCTCTCATTCCCATGTAGTTGTGATGCTCATATTTATCCCCAGGCTTCTGGAACAAAAAGGTACCATCATATCCACTCAGGTAGCCAGCAAGACCTATCAGCATCTGAGGAGAGAAGGAGAACAAACAAAAAGACAAGAGACCTTTGAGAGAAGACTCCTCTGTCCCCTGATCTTCCCTCCAGCTGCACCCAGGCCTGGGCTTCCCTTGACAACTGTCCATAGGAGTCGCCAATGTGACATTTTCTCCTGCAGCTGTTGCAGTGCAAAGGATCTTTTGTCTACAGAGATCATTGCTTGAAACAAATCCTCTCTTGTGTTAAGGCCAAGTTCTTGGGAACAGTGCAGATTGAACACTTTAGGAAGAAAAAAATCCCCACAAGTTGAAGGGCAGAGCCTATAATGGGCTCTCTTATTCAGCCTTCTTCCATTTGCTGAGAAATAAAATATGACAGTTCATGGGGGCTGATTGGCCCACTGAGAGGAAAATGAGGTTCCATGTCAGAATGAGGAGGAAGAAAAGTGGCCAAGTTGTTACACACCAGGAATAGAGAGAAGGGAAGAAAACAGAAAAGAGGAATACAAAGACAACTGCATTTCCCCAGAGGGGAAGAGAAAAGTCCCAGTGAAAAAATGGCCTTAGACTGGTTTCTTTTTCCAGTATTCCAAAGGGAGGCAGCCTTGGCACGTCCCAAACCAGAACAAATCAACTATAAACTAAGGGCCGTGAATCCTTCAAAATATTTAAGAGGATCAGCTTTTTCACTCCTATCTTTCCTTGGCCAACAACAATGTAAAATTCTCTTTTTCACATAAGCAATCAGAAGTAGCTAAAAAACAAAAGCTGTCAACAAATTCCCAGCATGTGTAACAGCCCCAGGTTGCCCCAGTCTGACTCCTGTGTTCCGGTTAGACTGTGTGGAGGGGCAGAATACACTGGCAAGCCCTTCCCAGCAACAATGCTCATGGGGGCTTGGATTTGGACCACTAACTAGCTCATTTTCTTCTCTAAGTAGCTCTAAACAGAGTCATTCTCTCCATGTCAAGGTACAGAAGCCAAAGTTCAGCAGTAAGTGACTATAAAGCCTTGTTTAAAAAAAAAATAGGAGGAAGTCCTGGGTCCAGAAGTCAGTTAATATAATTAATTTAATATAAAGTAATATAAGGTATTAGAAAGACAGAGCCATCCAAATACACAGATGAACTAAAACTGACAGGTGACAATCAAAATGGATGCTCATTCCCACCTGGGGTCTCAGAGGACAAATCGGCCTGGTGCTGGTCTACATTCCCAGACTGCTTGGCTGGTCTGGTAGAGTGAAGAAATGAACAAATGGTTGGAAACTCAGTGCCCCACATACTAGCTGCCTGATTGTGGACAATACTTACTCTCTCTGAACCTCAGGTAATAAAACCTTCCTTGCAAGGGGTTGAGAGGATAACAGGTGATATTGTAGGTAAAACACCTGACACTACGCCAAGTACTAAACAGGCAAAATTCTGTTCCCTGTCAGTCCCCTTAAAGTTAAAAGTAGCCCTGAGCTAATTTCATAACTAAATAACTCATTCAAATCAATAAGAAAAAGAACAACCTACAAGAAAAATGAGCAAATTCATAGAAAACAGAATACAAATGACTAATAAACATATGAAAAAAATGTTCAACCTAACTCATAAAGATATGCAAATAAAAACAGTGATATACCATTTTTTACTCTCAAATTGGCAAGGTTTTGACCATATAATCATACCAGTGCTGGCAATGGTGTGGGGGGAGCAAACACCCCCATACATTGTCGGTGGGACTATATGTTATTGCAATATTTTTTCAGGAAAACTTAGCAACATCTCACACAAATTTAAATATTTATTTGACTCTTCAGTCTGCCTGATGAGAATCTTTTAGATACACTTGCACAACGATGAGAAGATAAATGTACAAGGATGTTCATGCAGTACCTTTTGTTACAGCTAAAAATGGGAAATAATGTAAATACCCATCAAGCGAAGAGGGGTAAAATAATTTACGGCACATCTGTATGATGGAATAATATACAGCCATGAAAAAGTATGGAGTACATTTTTATGTGCTGATGTGGAAGGAAGCTAAGATAGGTCTTAAAACACAAGTTGCTGAACAATCTGTCTGGTCCCATTTGCATAACGTGCTGTTTATGTGTACTAATACATATGTATAAATATAGACACACTGATATTTCTATAAAAAGTTTCTGAGAGAATATATAAGAAACTGTTAACAAAGATGACCACAGTTACCTCTGAAGAATAGAAATGTAAGGAAAAGTAGCTTTTGACCTTTCATTTCCTTCTGTACCGATCAATTTGTTTACTATGTGCAGGCATCTTTATTTCCTTTGAAAGTACCTATTTGACTGGAACCCCCAGGCTCCCGGGGCTGGGGACCTGGTGAAGTGGCAGGTTTGGGTCTCAGTCCGGTAGGAGAACACTTCCTACTCACCACTTCAAGGGGCTTTTCGATTCTTTGGCTTGGCCTCTGAACCAATGAGAGATACTCTACTCTCTCTCACAGTGGTCTAATTTGCTCAACGCTCTCTTTCAACCAGGTAGAGCGCAGGGCCACCAGGAGATAAATTAGAGGAGTAGATGGACTGCGCTTCCCAGGGACAGCCTTAGAAAGAAGCCTCACATTTCTCCCTTCACACAGGGGCCAGATGTGAGGAAGGGAAGGCTTCAATAAAAACAAACCAGCCAGTGTTTTCCACATGTCTTCACTGTGCTGAGCACTAGGGAACTCCAACAATGGACAGGCAGCCCCCAGATGAAAGAACATCTCCTTGCCAGAGGTCTGGTTCCCAGGCTAGCCCAATGCAAATACTCAACACCTTCTGTTGTTTAATCCTATGGTAGTAACAGATATAGTCCGAGTATTGAGGCAAGGCAAGTTCATGAGGCATTGTGCTATAATGGTGAAGAGTGCAGACTTTAAGCCAGTCTGAACCTTGACTCTGTCACTTACTAGCTTTGCTCCCTATGGCAAACTACTTATCCTCTCTGAGTCCCAGTTTCCCCATCAGTAAAATGAAGATACAACGGTACCTACTTCATCGGGTTGCTCTAAGGATTACATATGAAATGCATCTAAAGTGACTAAAACAAACCAAGCGTTCAACTAACTGCTCTTATTTTTATTGTTGTAACCTTATAAAGGAGACAGGACAAGGCATTTCTACTCTGGGCTCAGAGCTAATTTTGAAATAGGCCACCTATGCCACCTGCCTCTAACCCCGCCCCCCACCTGCAGGGGCCCTCTCCCTGGCCCCACCCTATGTTCTCCTGCTTCCCTATGCCCATCTGTCACTGGTCACCACCCCCTGCCTTCCTCCCCAAGTACTCCATGCTCCGAGATCACAACCCCACTTCATAAAGGGCAAACTCCTGTCCCCTCAGTGCTGAAGAGCTCAGCCCCCAGTTAGGAAGAAAGGACTGAGTGAATGCCAGGGCCAATCCATTAGCCTTCTCAGAGGTGTTTGCTTTTAAAAGAGTAAACTGGGGCCGGCCCAGTGGCGCGATGGTTGAGAACTGGCTTGGGACGCCACAGGGTCCCGGTTCGGATCCCATATATGAGGGCCAGTGACGCTGCCCTCTGCAGCTAAGATGCTGGGCGGCAGCTCGACCTGGAGCTGGACTGCCGTGGGTCGCCGGCGACGGCATAGGCTGCAGCCCCTGTGGTAGTGGGTTGCCATGGGCTACCGTGTGTAGCCAGCAGCCAGTGTGAGCAGCCAGCAGCCGCAGTGAGCGGCCGTCCAGAAGCCGGCGACTCATCTGCCTTGCCTGGGAAGAGCGCAATGATGGTGCCAACTTGGGCCAGTGAAGCAACGTCCTCCACAACTAGACTGAGGAACAAAACGACAGCAACTTGATTGTTCCCCTTCCCCCAATTCCCCAGCACTGTTCCCATCCCCCCAATTCCCCAATAAAAATCTTTTTTTTTTCTTTTTCTTTTTTTTTAGCTGAGCCATCCTGCTACCTGTTGGCAGCTCAGCGGCTGCTCAGCAATAAAAATCTTTAAAAAAAAAAAGTAAACTGAATTCTGATTGGTGGAATTTCTAACTTAAAACATGTAAAATTTTTTTAAACTGAGATAAAAGTCATGTACCATAAAATTCACCATTTTAAAGTACATCATTCAGTGGTTTTTATGTACTGAATTAGGTTGCGCAAACATTACCACTACCTAATTCCAGATCATTTCATCATCCCCAAAAGAAACTTCATACCTATTTGTAGTCACTCCCCAATCCTCCCTCCCCCCAGACCCTGGCAACTATTAATCTTCTTTCTGTCTCCAAGGATTTGCCAACTCTGGACATTTCATATAAATAGAATCATACAATATGTGGCCTTTTGTGTCTGGCTTCTTTCACTTAACATAATGTTTATAAGATTCATCCACATTGTAGCATGTATCAATACTTCATTCCTTGTTTATGGCTGAATAATATTCCATTGTATTAATATACCTCAGTTTGCTTATCCATCCATCAGTTGATGGACTCTCTCTTCATTTCGGAGCCCAGAAACACCCCTAAAAACACCGAAGATTTTCCCTGAAAGGAACTGGTCTGGAATATCAGGAAATTCTTTCTACAAGGCTGAAAATTAAGTCCAAAACCAAGACTTGGCTCCACCCCTTCAGAGAAAGTTGTTCACCACCCTGCTCACCTTTCCCAGAGGCGGGTGCACATCAAAAAAAAAGGTGCGGTTGATGTAGTAACTTCCCATTTTTCCAAAGTGGGTCTCATCCCAACTAAAGGGAAAACAAAAAGGATAGAATTTTAAAATTATCTTATAATCCAAATAGCCTTAATAAATAAAGCAAGGTTAAAATTACAGTTAAAACCAAAAGCTATGAGTTTCAAGCAATTAATGAGAAGATTTGGATTTTTTAAAAAAAGCTTTTGACACAAATGATTTGAGGAAGCAAGACATGAAGCTGCTCATTAATCTTCATTTAGGTAGACGAGAAAGGTAAGCACATATTTAACAACCAGTTATCATAAATTCAAGTTAAATTTATACTTATTTTGTATCTTGAGTTTCTATTTATTTTAAAAGTGCAAAGAATTTCCTTATAATATAGAAAGGTTTGTAGTCAGTTTTCTCCAAGGCTGTTAACTTCTAACACTGCGACTACATTTGTTACTGGAAACCGCATCACCATTATCACAAACTACACTGTGGGCAGAGAGAGCCTCTAAGCCATGGTCGTCATAGAAGTCTGATTTTGTTCATCATCCTACGATAACTAACCAGCTGACTATGAACTCACTGGTCCTATTATAATGAACTAGCCATTATATAAAAGTTGAGGGTTTTCTTACTAGGACCCTAACTAGAACCTATCCTCATTGCACAAATTATTTTGCAAGTAAGTAAGTGATTCCAATACATTGTCTCTTAAAGTAATGCAAGGCCTTGCTCTTCTGTACAACCACATAACACTCTTTACACCCTACATGAGGGCTTTATGGTGGCAGCCAGCTTATCCAGCAGAGCCTGGACATTTCTGTTTGTTAGTCTCTCCCTGCAGCTCAGAAGAACAGTTGCCTTCTAGGGACTATCCAATCCCCAGGTCAGCTTCCATAAGTATTTGTTACTGACATACAAAATAACAGGCAGAGCACGCTTTTCCAAAAATGTAGGGTTCTTCTTTTTTATTTTTTTTTAACTCAGTGGGTCCAACAGATAGAAGAGTAAATCTACTTCTGCATCCACGCGGCACACTGCTTGACATGAGGTGAGGACAGTAACATGGCGATGTCAAAGGGAGAAATAACTTCCAAACAGTGTGACAAAATAGGTTTGCAGAAGGAAGAGAGATCCAGTCCCAGCTCCAGCCTTGCTAACAGCATGACCTAGCAAATCACTCGCCTTCTCCAGGTCTCCTTTCTCATCTACACAATGAAAACAATAATAGTAGCTGCCATGTCCCCCTCGCAGGAAGGTGTTAGGGCTCAAGTCAGATGACATGTGAAAGAACTTAGTCCCACACATGCGGGGCACTATTTAAACAGAACCAATATTTGTGGTTAGTTTTGAAGTCTGGAAACATACTGACAAAGGAGTATGCGATTTTTACTTCAAAAATTTCCCAGGTAAAACTAGTAATAGTAAGTTCTCACCTAACGTCATCGATCAGTTCTGTGACTTTAAACAAAACAACTCATAACAGAAACAATTTTACCATAGGCTAACTGATATAAACGAGAGTTAAGTTCCTACTCATCTCAATGTTATAACAAAACTGCGTTGAATGAAACTACATTAATCGACGTTTGTGGAGGACCTGCTGTAGTAACATCCACGTTTCTTCTTGGCTGTCACTGCTTGTTTGTGTTGGGACAGACAGTCCTCCTTGACGCTCTTCTGCTCTGCTCCTAAAGACCTTGCGGAGTATGCCAAGAATGCAAGGCCCTGACCGCTCTTCACTCAGGCCACTTCTCAAAGTTCTGTTCAAGCAAGCAGCCTTGAGGGAAGAGTTAGCGCCACCCTCTGTGACAGGCAGCAGTCTTGCTTACTGCTTATTATATTACAGCGAATTCCCCCAGCTCAATATTCCCCAGCTGTGATACAACCCGGTACATGTGCAGGCATTCATCCAGACCCACAGCATCATGTGAGATTTGGGGGACAAGGGGAACCGATGCCAACATGCTGATGCTCAGCCTGCTTGAGAAAGGAAGTCCTCAGTCTCTGATCCAGGCCTTTGTCTTCGGCCAGCATCTATAGAACAGTGACAGGCTAACTTAATACGTAGGGTAAACTAAAATCCCAGATCCTGACAGTTTTGGTGACAAGCATAGGATGCTGAGACATAGCTTTCTGTAAGAGAAAGGACAAGGACCCCTACAGGATGGGTTACTGGATATGAGAAGACTCCTCAGCACCTGGTACTGAGTGTTCTTGCCCAAGTAGTGGGCAAGGAAAGCAGTAAAAGCCCCCACTGTCCTATCTACTAATGAGGCTGAGTGGAGTGAGGCAGGGTTGAAACAAAGCATCGAAGTGTTGCCTTGGTTACTGCGCACTCTCCTGGGTGAAGGGAGGAAGAGATGTATCATGACGAGAGGACAGCAAGCCCAGGAGCCCCGGCCCAGAGGCAATGTGGACGTGGCTGCTGAGTCAAGGAGTCACTAACGCTTAGGTAAATGCCAGCAGTAAGGACCTTGCTACACAATACACAACTTTGGGTGACATGAAAACATTGAAAGATGCTTGGGTGAGCCTTGTACTCAAGCCAAAAGTAAATGTGCCTTGCTTAGAGGCTCAGAGACACGCTCTCCCTGTGTCCTATGATCCCTCCCCCTCTGCCACAACCTCAGCTGCTTTAAAGAATAAGATGATTAAAGGTACTGCCAAGGTCTCACTGTCCCCAAAGAGGACTGAAGGCCATACACACCCATCCTAGTATGCTGGAGAACTCCAGGGAGGAGAGGAACTCAAACTCAGGACTCTATTGAAATCAGGGGCCCACATGCCCACCCTACTCAATCTTATTGGGGGAGTATTTGCTAGGCGCAAGGATTACCAAAGGTGTTGAGGACTGCAGGAAAAGACATAGCAGTGTGTACAGGGACTGAAAGAAAAGGGCCCCCAAGCCCAGGAGCTTATCAGACACAGGGAAGCACGCTGGGGAAGTCGTGGTGCCAAGCCTATCAAGGGGCAGAAGGAGAAAAAAACCTTCCTCCAACACCTGCATCCAGCACTCCCCACACTCCTGACGGGGGAATGGTGTGATCTTTGGGTGGCTGTCACTGTAGCTACTGATGCAGCCAATTAGATTCATTAGTTCAGGGGAAAAACAGTGCTCAAAATTCAATTGATAGGGTTTGAGCCAAGTTCCCAGTGGGGATGCGAAGGTAGAGTGACCTTGTAGGTAGGACCCTTTACCATCACTGTGGCTTCCACTGTTGATCCCATAAATGTTAAAGAGGATCACCCCATTCAGGGACTGCTGTGTGTTGAGAGTTGATCTTGTTCCCCTCCTTGGTGGTCCAGGAGAAATAATACAAATCCCAAGAAGAGAAAGGGAAATCACAGCTTTAAAGATGTAATGGCTAGGTTGGCTGAGTGGCTCAGTTGGTTAAGAGCGTGAGCTCTGAGCAACAGGACTGCCGGTTCGATTCCCACATGGGCCAGTGGGCTGCGCCCAAGCTGAGCTGCCACTGAGCTGCCAATAGGTGGCAGGATGGCTCAGCTGGTGAGAGCACGTGCTCCTAACAACAAGGTTGCCTGTTCGACTCCCACATCGGATGGTGGGCTATGCCCGCCTGCAACTAAGATTGAACATGGCACCTTGAGCTGAGTGGCCGCAAGCGCCAATGGGCAGCCGGATGGCAACTGGACTTGGAGCTGAGCTAGCTGTGTCCTCCACAACTAAGATTGAAGGACAACAACTTGGCTGTTCCCCTTCCCCAATTCCCCAACATTGTTCCCCTTCTCCAATTCCCCAATAAAATCTTTAAAAAAAAAAGATGTAATGGCTGCTAGAATGCCCAGAGATGCCATTCTCCAGGATAACAGCGCCACCTGCTGGGCTCAGGCACCAAGTACATAGTTTTTTTAAATGGGCAATTATCAACCTACTACCATACTAAGCTGTTGCTGAAATTGAGTGACTAACCATGAAGGCCTTAAGATCCCTGCTACTTTGGGGTGGGTCAACTTGGAAACTATGGCTAACAAGGAACGGGATCAACACACTTTGCTGGTCAAATGGAAATGGTATAATCAAGAGTATAGCCTCCCTGGCCCTAGAGGCATCTTGATTTTACATGAAGGGGTGGCAGCTCCCCCTTTGGGAAAAACTATCTTCCTCTCAACCACTTAAAGCAAAGCCACTGGCTCAATGGAGCCCTTGATTTATAAAGGTTCTTTTCAATGCTTGTGCCTAGGTCACTGATGGTTAGTTAGGCTAAACGAAAAGCTGAGGGTGTCCATTGGGCAGCAGCAGTCATCCAGCCCCAATGATAACTCTGGAAGGCCAACGGCAGTGAGGGTTGATCAACACAATGGACTGAATTGAAAGTCTTCACCCTGGCCTTAGACAATACTTCTAAGAAACAAACTAGTTACAGTAATAACTTGGTTTGCAAGCATAATTCGTTCCAAAAAACAAACTACTTGTATTGCAAGACATCACTCATTTACTAAGTTAAAATGTATTAGAAATGTTTGCTTGTCTTGCAGAACACTTGCAAACCAAGTTACTCACAATCCAAGGTTTTACTATATATTTTATTTACTTGGGCTTTTGCCATTGGCTTAGCCATCTGGTGTGCCACTTGGAAAACTATATACTGAGAGATTAAACACACCCCTCTTTGGAGCTGAGAACTGTGGGAAAAAATCATGGCTACTTTCTGATGGGACAATCTGGATCACTCACACAGATGTCCACAGTTAGGGCCAGTACTCTGATAAGACTGACTGGATCAAGCATGCACCAGCCAGACTGCTGCCATTGCCACCTGGATTCATCAATGCCCCGGGCATGGAAACACATCTACCATCATGGACTGGGCACAGAGCAAAGGACTATATGTTTTTGAAGCAGAAGCCATTACTGCATTGTGGTGGCTTGTGACTCCTGCCAAAAGTTGGCCTGTTTGTCTTGCAGTAAAGGAAGCCACATTGCACGGGGTATTGACACTGCCTGCTCCAAGAAAACTGACTGCATCAAGATTTTGTTCCCCTCTCTGGGCTATCATTGGTGCCTCAATGCTGCTGACACTTTTTCAGGTTAGTGTTGATGATGCTGTTCCAGTCCAATCATCTGACTCTAGATACACCATCGTGGCCTTGAAACTAAACTATGTCATGTTTTCAGCTTTTTAGGCCATTTACAATCTGATAATGGTGCACCTTTTTTTTTTTGGCAATGGCCACCCAATAATAATAGGCCAATAGTCAAGGTATTTAATGACATTCCACACTCCCTACCATCCACAGGCATCTAATGTTGTCAAGCACTGAACAGCCCTCTCAGAAAGATTTCTGACTCTACTTCTCTCCGGGTTCACACACCTTAGTGAAGCAGTTTGGTCACCTAATGCATCCATTACCAGAAAGGGTTAATCTCTTCTTGGCCACCAACTGGGTAATGATCAGGACAAAAGGGGTGAAGGGTTATACAAACCTATTTTGAAAACTTGAGATTCTTCCCTGACCTTCTTGGGCATGATTTGTCTTTCTTTCCCCCTAACAGCAACTCCAGATCAGCCTGCAGACATCTATGGGATTCAAATTTAATTCTAGTTCAGTTACCTGGATTTTCTTTTTGGAGTGACATGGTCCTAGAGCATAAATATAATAACCACTTGGTTGAGTACAATACTTGTCAAGTCACCCTGTAGTAGTTCCCATCTGGACAAGGTGGGAGACATACTGCCTCTGTCAATTTTCTAGCAATGCCCTTGGCAAAAAAGGTCTGGATATTATTAGCAGGGGACAACTGGAGAAACGGTAAAGTTATAGACACTAAAGTGGGACACACTGATTATATGGCAGTGGAAGGAAAGAAACAACCCTGGCACCTGGGGAGCTAACATCTTAGACCCCTGGAGATGTAAAGAGAAGGGAAACAATTAATACTCTCTTCGTCCTCTAGGTCCAGAACCAAAGCCTGGCAAAACACTCGTATGGTACAGCAAAATCAAGAGGCAGCTATGGCTGGTCAGTTTGTCAGCGTGCTATGAAATCAGAGAAACTCATGTAGACATGGCTCATCTTGAACTACTCTTATGTACCTGATGACATCAACTTCAGCTCCCAAACACAGACCTCCTCATGTGTGTGCAAACACAGACCAGCACAACCTCCTATGAATCTAACTGATACAAATTCAAATGGTTCTCCTGACACCCTAGGGGCCTAAGGTTATAGGTTATACCTTGTATAGCAACTGAGGCTACAACTACTCAGTGACACTCATTACCCATGTAGCTTAACCAAACCACAGTAATGTGATCTAAATCGAATTTGATGGTGATCCAAATTAAATTTACCAAAAAGTCCTGAAGTGGAATGACCTGCACTCCTTCAGGTAATATATTAGGATGTAGGGGAAATGGGCCATGGAATGTCTTTTCACTGGGCATGAGAGTTGCTTTTTTTTTTTTTAAAGATTTTTTTTATAATTTTTTATTGGGGAATTGGGATGGGAACAGTGCTGGGGAGTTGGGAGAAGGGGAACAGACAAGTTGCTGTCCTTTTGTTCTTCAGTCTAGTTGTGGAGGATGTTGCTTCACTGGCCCAAGTTGGCACCATCATTGCGCTCTTCTCTGGCGAGGCAGGTCAGTCGCCCGCTTCTGGACGGCCGCTCACTGCGGCTGCTGGCCGCTCACGCTGGCTGCTGGCTACACACGGTAGCCCATGGCAATCCACTGCCACAGGGACTGCAGCCCACGCCGTCGCCGGCGACTCATGGCAGCCCAGCTCCAGGTTGAGCTGTTGTTCAGCATCTCAGCTGCGGAGGGCAGTGTCACTGGCCCTCATATGTGGGATCCGAACCGGGGCCCTCTGGCATCCCAAGCGAGTTCTTAACCATCGCGCCACTCGGCCGGCCCTGCTTTTTTTTTTTTTAATGAGGGTGGACCCCTTGTAATTATTGGCAATGACACCAAAGATTAGAAGTCAGTCTAAACACACATGCAGAGAATATTACAGTGATTAACAGACTGGACTTAGACTACATCCCAGCTGGATGAAGTAAGACCTACTGGTCCTTCCCCATCCCCAAGCCCCACACACAATTACGCACAGCTGGCTGAACCCAGGCATGGTTGAGGTTAACACCACAGGTTGGCCTCATCCTGCTGCTTAGAGTCCTCTTGAGAGCAGCCTTAACTAAATGCTGTATGAGACAGATTGAACAGATTTGGTCCCTGCCTCTGTCAGGTTAATCAGAGTAGCCAATGGAGTTGCACCTTCATATGAAAAGGTGCTATAAGCCAAGACATGTCAGATAAAGGGGTGAGACTGTTGGGAAAAGCAATCCTCCATCGGTCTCTTGTACTCCCACACAATCTTGATGGGTATGCCAACAATGTAAGGCCCTAACTGCACTTTACCTGGGCCGTTTCTTAGAGTTGTGTTTACACCAAGCAACTTTGAAAGATGAGGTAATGTCTTTCTCCAGGGCAAAGAGTACCCTTGCTTACTGCTTGCTATAAAACAGTAGCTTCCCCAAGCATATTGTTCCCCAGCTGCAAGGGAACCCACTGTGTGTGCAGCCATCCATCTGAGCCCATAGAATCACCATGTGGGACTTGGAGGGGGGGGGGCGGATGAGGGTGGGGGGACTAACTCCAGCATCCTCCTTCCTACGTTGTGCATAATAAGCCCTTTGTCTCTGACCCAGGAGTCTCATGTCTTCTGCCAAGACTCATGAAAACAACAACAAACTAATTTATCAACTTCCTAGTAGGGTAGCCCTGACAGCTTTTTAGCTTGCTTACTTTTTGGTCAAGGAGTTCCATTTCTAACATCCCTACACTTTCTCCTCAGTGATAATGAGACAATATGGTATCACTTGTTGGCCAAACAAAGTAAGCATTTTCAGACTGTATAAAATTGTTCCTCCTTTCAACTGGAGACTTTTTAAGCTTATCTAATGCTTCAGTCCTGCAAGTGAGTCCTACAGAATAAAACTTTTAAGAAAAAAAAAATCTCGCCTCACAGGATGACCCTAGACCTGCTTCCTGGAACCCTTGCCAGTCACCATCCCTAGACAACCAAGCTGTCCCTGCGCCGCAGGATGAAGGTACCCAGTTAAGAATCTTTCCCTACAGTGATGTCTGGAAACCCTGCAGATTAGGAACTCAGGCCTTAGGAAATTCTGCACTAAAAATTTCCATCCATCCTTGGAAAGTTCAAAGCACCTTTAAGAGCCACAATCTGCGAGCCAGGTGAGACACTGCATGCAGCATAACCTGGAAGGCATGAAAACTGCTCCCTCAGAGCCTAAGAATCCCATTGCCACCGACCAGAGCGAAGACTCCTCTCACATAGACTGCTGTTAGCCAGAGGTAACCACCAGAAACCTCAGTTTCCCCTCCAGCGCGACTCCACCCCTTTTCCTGTGAATCCCGCCCCCTAAGTGCCCCCCGGCCAATGAGAGGGTGCGTCCCTTTCCCGGTTGCCATGGTACCCGGCGAATCACTCACCAGACGTGTTGCGGCTCGTCCAGACGGTGGAAGCGGGTGGCGAAGGACAGCAGCGTCACCAGGGCCAGCACGGCCCACCGGCCGGCCGCCTCGAATTGCCGCGAGCCCCACGCAGGCCGTTTGGGGCTCCGCGCTGCAGCCTCGGCGGCTACGTCCGGGCTCACGGCCCTAGCAGCCTGGGATCCACAGCGGCCCCTCCGGGGACGCAGCTCGGACCCTGCCAGGCCTACGCCCACCGCCTGCAGCATCCTTCCCCTCCTCAGGCTCGCTCTTCGGCCCGTAGGCACGCCAAGTCTTGCGAGCCGCCCTGCCAAGAAGACACAAAGGGGCAGCTCGGGGTGCCCTGGGAAATGTAGTTCCCTACACCGGCAGCGGGGCGCGGGGCCCCGGCCTCTGTGTTGGGCGGGGAGTGCGGTGGCCTCCCCGGCCGCTAGGAGGCGGCCAGTGGCGCAGAGCATGACGGGCCGCGAGAGGCGAGCGGGCCAGGCCGAGGAGAAAACGGGCTCAAGGAACTGCAACTCCCAGCAGCGCCGGGACTGGCAGCGTGGCGGCAGGGAGGGGCGAGCTCGAAGAAACGGTCGAGATCATTCTAGTCCAACCCCTCGCTTTACCGACACCTAAGCCAACGTTCTGACGTGTCAGGGCCTCAGGAGTCGACGAGTCGGCTAGTCCCAGGCGCGAAGTTTACTGGCTTGGGAAAGGGGTCGCCCGAAGTGCGAGATGCAAGCGGGGAAGGTCTGTGCCACGAATCCCGGGAGAGGGGAGCGACTGAGAAACCCGGGGGGGCGGGGTCAAAGGTGAGCCGCGCGGCCCTGCCCACAGCTCCGACAACGACTCCCAGCAAGACGTGCGCCCACCGGCCCCGCTCTGCGCCTGCGCGCCGACAGGTGGCCCCTGTGGTCCAGGCGGTGTTAGGCCTGCGGCGGCGCGCGCTCGTGGACACGTACTGGACAGGGTCGCGTCGCTCTTCCCTCGCGCGTCACCTGCTTCCCCATGCCCGCGCCTAGGGCCGTAAACGTTGTCCCTCGCCTGCCTCTGCCGCACAGCCCTGCGTGCTCCTTTCCCGACCGATTGGCCTAAAAGGCCCTAACAGTTCATGTTTGGCCTTCCAGGGTTGTTTTCATTTTAAGAGAGCATCAGGGGTCAGGGGAGGCAGTGGCGCTTTAAGTGATATCAATCACTTGAGGAGCTTCCCAGGGCCCGCGCCTGAGCCACTGCATCAATCTCTGGAGAATCTGCATGTTTAATAAGTGCCCCAGATGAGTCATTAAATCCTTATTAATATCTGAGAACCACTGTTTTAGTTCGAAGGAAGGTGGCAGGCACATTAGGTAAGATATAGCATCCCTTTAATAATGTAGAGCCCTCCCACTCCCAAATGGGATTTTAGGAGTCTTTCTCTAAAGTCATGTGTAAGAGACAGATTTAAAATAAAATCTAGAGTAATCAGAATCTGTATTTGAACTGGAAACAGTATTTTTCCAAGAGTGATGATAAATAAAATGGATACTTGGGCTTAAAATTTAGCTCTACAAGTGTGAAAAGGAACATGAGATGGTTTATATAGTTATCATTGCTTAAAGAAAGAAACTGCCCTCCAGTATGTCTCCCAATGGCCCATAAGTAGAAAACGTAAGGACACTTACAGTGACTCTTGCCACCCTTAGTACAGGTCAAAGGAGTAACATTTAGTAATTAGGAAAGGCATTTCTTCAAGGATTCTAACTAAGCAGATGCCTGCAACCCTCTAGTGGTCCCATCCCTCACCAGCAGTACCTGTCTTGGCCTCAGGGACCCCTCTAGCCTGGCCAGGTAAGGAAAGGGATGCACCTCCGAATATGGTACATCCCATTGTAGCCACCCAACTCCTGCCCTTCCCAGGACACCCACTGCCAGGACCACCTTCACTTTCCCCACAAAAGGTGCCGTCAATACAGGCTGAAACTCCCGGGCTTGGGAACCAACTTGGGAGGGCCTGGGTTCTCAGTTGTGCCCTTGCCCACCTAGGAGATGAAGTTGGTAGTTTAGGGATGGTGTGAGCAGATTCAGATAGCAGCTTGGTGTGCTGCGGGGATGCAAAGGGGAGAGAGAACTTGGGTGACATGTCTATAGTCAGAGGGATGGTAGAGGGGGGTGATCTGAGAAATTCTGTTGAGTTCTCTATGTGGATCCATGTGTCTGCAGGAAGATTCATGAATGCTAATTACTGGCAACTCTCCTGGGTCCTGCTTTGAAATGCAAGCTACCCAAGAAGCACCAAAGGAATAATGTTGAGTCCCTTAAACTTTAGAGGAGAGGTCACATACTCAGCTGCATCCAGGGGCCTGAAGGTAACAAAAATTTGAAAAGTGGGCCAGGTGGGGGTCATGGCAGATCAGAGAGGGCATGCTCTGACTGAAAGGGGCCCTTAATCAGCTCCAGTCAATTGTTGCTGAGTCCACTGTCTCCAGATTTTTTAAAGAAAAAAACAACAGGATTTATATATGAAACATCCTGATTTTTTAATGTCAACTACAGTCTCATCCCTCGATATCTACAGGTGATTGGTTCTAGGACCCCTCCACCCAGCATGGATACCAAAATCAGAGGATGCTCAAGTCCCTTATATAAAATGTATTTGCATGTAACCTACACACATCCTCCAGGATACTTTAAATCATTTCTAGATTTATAATACCCAACACAATGTAACTGCTATGTAAGTAATAATCATACTGTATTGTTTAGGAAATAATGACAAGAAAAAAAGTCTGTACACATTCAGTACAGATGCAGCCATCGTAACAACTATGTAGTACAGCAACAACGTAAGTTGTTTTCTCCCAAGTATTTTCAATCCAGAGTTGGCTGAAGTTGGTTGAATCCACAGAATCAGAACCCACAAATATGGGGAGGGCTGACTGTAACGGAGACATTTTTAAATGCTCTGTAGACCAAACAGAACCTTGGGCTGCCAGCTTGAAGCCTCAGCTTTGGAGTGAATGGGCACATCCCCCAACTACTTTTATGAGATCAGCTGAGAGCCTGGAGGACTGATGGGTGGGAGGTTGAAAGCGAGGGGCACTAAAGCATCAAGAAGTAGAATTCCTGGTCTTTCTGCTGCTGCTGGAAGAAGTCGTAGCCATTGTTTTTGGACAACCCTTCATTTTAGAAATGAGGGAGCTGAAGGCTAGAGATGTCAGGGATTCGTCCAAAGTCTTCCAGAGCTGGTTCCTGCACTGGGACCAGACCCCAGTATGCCAGCTCCCAACACACTGTACCACACAAACTACTAGCTCAAAACCAGGCCACCCTGTCCACCAGGACACCAGACCTGGCCCCACCAGGAGCATAAGAAACTTCCCACAAGTTGGAAAGAAATTATTACCCTTTCTGACCTGAGTCAAAGTTCCCCTGCTGCCTGCCTGGCCCAGCTCCCCGATTGGCTCATGGGAGCCACCCCTTCAGAGCCCCTCCTCCCCATCCTGCATCTCTGTGAAAGGGTCATTCCTCTGAAGGCTAAGGGTTGCCACAACACCATGACTGAGTCCGGCAAGGTAAAGGAGGGCACTTGCAGGCTGGCTTCCCCTCAAGAATGCGTGACAGCACAGTTTGGAGCCAAGGGACCCCACAGGACTCCTGGCCTGTAATCCAGAGAGCTCTGCGTCTGGCCTGAGTTGCCCAGACTCCGGCCTAAGGAAGAAGGCCTGGCGGGATGGGAAGAAACAGTGCTGGCCTGGACCCCTCTGGCTGGGCACTGGTCCCTCCTCTCCATTGGGTTCTTGGGGCTGGGCACCCACTGAGCACAGGCTAATGTACACCCTCAACCTCTCTCTCCTCAGCCCATCCTCTACTCCTATTTCCGAAGCTCCTGCTCCTGGAGAGTTCGAATAGGTAAGAACTGTGCCTCCACCAACAGCCCGGGTGTGGTGGGATAGGGCGGAGGAAGCCCTGGGTGAAAAGCTGGTCTGGACAAAGGGGTGCTCAATCAGACAGGGCTTCACCCCCCACCCCATCCCCCACCCCCGCAACCAGCTCCCCCAGTCTGCTGGAGCCCTCAGCCCTAAATGGCACCTCCACCTAGGAAGTCCGACAAGAGGAGAGTGCGGGTGGCAGGAAAGGAGGGTTGTTTTTTCTCTTGGGCCTGCCACCTCTCCCACCCTACTCTCCGAAGCCCCTTAGCAACTGTGCTTACAGCAGGCTCACAAAATCCAGAGGTCCTTGGTAACTGTCAGGAAACAGCTGGCCTTCCTTAGTTCTTATCTTATTTGATCTGGCAAATTAAACAGAACTGGCCACTGTCCACCCCAGTATAACCCTTCCCTCCCTCGGTTTAACACAGCCCTTTGCAAAGGTCATAGTCCTAGCAGTTCATTATGAGGGAGAACTCTGCTGAGTGCTTTTGAGTGCATAATTCCATTTAAACCTCGAGAGCCCTAGGAGGGAGGTACTGGATATTGTCCCCATTGTACAGGGGCTCACAAAGTTACCCAAGGCTACACAGCTAGCAAATGAATGATGAAATCTGAACTTGGCCCTAACTGGGAAGCCATACTCCATGACCCCTCCCCCATGCCAGCGTCACTTGGCATTTGCTGGAATCAGTGGGCAAGAGTGCTGGGGTGCCAAAGGATACATTTCTCCAAAAAGACCCCTTCCCTGGGCCCAGAGCCTCTGCCCTGGCTGGGCTGGAAGCCAGAGCAGCTTGAGGGCTGTCTCTAGGGCCTGCATACACTGGTCTCTCCTTGGCCTCAACCCCTTTCACGCTCCAGAGTGGAGCTGACCCGCACTGCGGAGGAGCCTCGCGACTCCCAGGCCCTCTGCAGACTGCCACATGTCCTGTGCTCCCTGCGCTCCTTTGCTCTTGCCTCAGATCCGCAATCACCAGGGCCCCGTTGCGGGTGTGGAGAGTAAGGCTCTAAGAGTTCAGGGACTAGAGAGGCAGGGCATCATGGACCTGTGTTAGGGAGTGGGTGCTGACCAGGGAAGCCGGAGAGAAGGGGAGAGGACCAAGCTGGGCCATGGCTACCTAGTGATGTGAAGAAAGAAGCCTCCCTCTGCAGCCTCATGGCGTCCCGGTAAGTGGAGCCAGAGGTCATCCCCTGACTCTGCTGTCTGCCATCTCTCCTAGCTCTGGCCTTAAAAAACATCAACTATGAGACAGTACCCATCAACCTCATAAAGGATGGGGGCCAGCAGGTAAGGAGGATGCCCCCAGGCCACAATGTGGGAGTTGGAGGCCTTGAAGAGGGACCCAGCAGCGGGTGCAGACTTCTGCCCCCAAGATGTGAACCTGCACCGCAAGGTCCGCTGACCGGAGGAGGCTGCTGGCTCTCCCTTGTGGGACAGGGTGGCCAGCTGTGTAGCCGGAGGAACCATGGGAAGGGCCCAGGCTCCATACCACAGCCTGGCCTCCCAATGCCTGACCCCAGGAGGGTGGGAAGTGAGTGGGTCCTTGCCCCATGCTGGGACCTCTGGATGTGCCTTGGTGGCCACCGGGCAAGGTGCATATAGCCAGGCCTTTGGGAGGAAGGCTGTAGCTCAGCAGCCCCTGGGGGCTGGGATACTGCACAGATCGCCCAGGCATCATCTTGGGCCTAGGAGCAAGGCCTCTACCCAGGGGAGGGAGGTTCAGGGATGGGCAGTGGGCCTGGGGTCTTCCTGCTTGCCTGGTTCTGCCTTAGCCATCTCAGGCCAGGCTGCCCAGCACACCAGGACCTTGTCTCCACAGTTCTCTAAAGAATTCCAGGCACTGAATCCCATGAAGCAGGTGCCAGCCCTGAAGATTGATGGCATTACCATCAGCCAGTCAGTGAGTACCAGGCTTGGGAGGCCCCTGGTGGGAAAGGACCTCCCAGCGTAATAAACTTTTTTCAGACCGAGGAAGGATGGTTGCTTGTTTTGGGAAGTGGAAGGGAGACTCAGGCATATGGGGAACCTAGCTCTGCAGGACGAGAATCCAAACTGAGCTTGGGCCCCTGGGGAGCCTCTTGGCTTCACAGGGCTCAAGCTGAGTTGGGGGAGGGGGAGGAGAAGGAGTTGGCTGGCCCTGTCCCCTGTGGTCCGGGGCCCCGGGCTCTCTGTGCTCCCCTCACCGCCGGCCCCCTCACGGCTCCCTCTGGACAGCTGGCCATCATCGAGTACCTGGAGGAGACGCGGCCCACTCCGAGACTCCTGCCTCAGGACCCAGAGAAGAGGGCCCTCGTGCGCAGCATTTCCGACCTCATCGCCAGTGGCATCCAGCCCCTGCAGGTGTGGCGCTTGCGCACTGTACACTCGCACACTGACTGTGGTGAGCCCACAGTGAGGTGCGCAGCTTGAGTGTGAGGGTGGCAGGAGGCCAGGGAGGGATTCTCAGGGGCTTAGACCTAAACCACGTGGCGAGGAGCAGGGAGGGGAGAGATCATCCACTCCACTGGGTACCCAACCACGTTCCCAGAAGCCCTGGGTTTCCAAGGACGCATCCAGAGGTGCTAGAGAGTGTAGGGCCAGGTGACGGGGGAGGCTGAGCAGCACAGATCCAAGCCTCCCACCTTTAACCAGAGCAGCCTCCCTTTCACCTGTAATGTGTCATAGGTAGATTGGAACTCCTGTAAGATTTTATTATTTACAAAGTTTTCACTGGAAGGGAGGGAGGGAGGGAGGGCAACAAAACAATTCATTTGTGCTAACCCCTGACTTTGCGATGAGGAAATAGCCCCCAAAAGATAGAGTGACTTTGCAGCATCACTCAGTTGAGTATGACAGAGCAAGGACCAGAGCCCAGGACTGCTGACTATGGACCTGTGCCCCCCGCCCCCATGGCACTTTGTCTTTTGTAACGAAGGAGGTTGTAGCAGACAGTCATTCCCACTTAACGGATGAGGAAACTGAAGTCCAGAAGTGAAATGGCTCCAAGGGTGCAAGGATAGAACCAGAGTCCAAATCTCCTGAAAGTCATTCCTATGCACCTACCTGTCCCATCCCCCACCCTGCGTCACACTCCCACTTCTCACAAGGGACCATGTAAGGGGGAAGCGTTGGATGCAAGGGGTAGATGCCTCGGGTTATGGCCACACCCATCACAGCCGTGGCAGCATCCTATGCCCCCACCCTTGCACACCTCTGCCAGAGTCGCAGGCTTCCAGGCGACAGGAACCCCCGGGGCAGCCTGAGAAGGAAGCTGCCGGGACCATCACCCCCCTTTAACGTCAGGGCCCTGGTGGGAGGAAGGGCTCGCAGAGCCTGGAGGAGTGGCAAGAGGAGGACAAGTATCCAGCCAGGGACATGAGCACTGAGCTTTCCTGCGGAGGCTTGGCTGAGCGTCCCCGCCTGGCTCCCAAAGCCAATCACAGATTTTCCTTGGGCTACACAGAACCTGTCAATCCTGAGGCAAGTGGGACAGGAGAACCAGCTGGCCTGGGCCCAGAAGGTCATCAATTCTGGCTTTAATGGTGAGTCCTTACTCCTGTGAGCTGCCCCAAGGCGACCTCAGGGAAATGGCCCTTGCGCCCATGGCCCCGGGCATCTTTGATCTTGACAGTGGCATGGATGAGGGTAGGGGGCAGGGCTGAGGAGCCAGGGGGCTGGCTGAGTGGCATCCAAACCTGGCCTCAACTTCAGGCACTTCTGGGAACCTCAGTACCTGAGGCCCTTTGGAGCTGGATGACGCAACATCTGCTTCACTGCCTACTCCAGCCAGTAAACCGAGGCTGGCAAAGTGCCAGCCTGTCAGTGTGCGAGCTGCTGCCTTGGCCAATGACAGGTCTTATCCCATCTGAGGGAGAGAATGGCAGCTGGACCTGAAGAGCCCAGAAAACATCATCCCATCCCCAGGTCCCTATCAACTCGCTCGAAATCTGGCTGCCATATTCCCTCCAGCATACATGCCCCAGCCTGTCACTCAGATAGCCACCCATTTCAGAACTAGGAAGGCCAAGGCCCGGAGAGGCCGATCTCCCCTTTTTGCGCCCAGGGTAAGATCATTCATGTGTCGTCCCCACAGCTTTGGAGCAGATTCTGCAGAGCACAGCGGGGAAGTACTGTGTGGGAGATGAGGTAAGCCCCCCAGGCCTGCCCACGGCAGCCTCCTGCCTCCTGCCGACCCTCTTCCGCTTAGACTCAGCCATCTCCCTCCACCCCAGGGCAGGCTCAGCTCCAAGAGTTTTATGAGAAGGTTTGGGGGTGAAGAAAGGGAAGGAACCAAGGTTGTCCTCTCTGCCCAGCAGAAGGTAGCTCCTGGCCCTAGTGAGCTGACTCAACAAGAAATGGGTTTCTCCTTCCAGTGGGTATTCAAGCTGAAGACCTCATCTCTGGGATAAGGGGGCGGTGGTCTAGGCATTAGATAAGGGATTAGACCAGGTGATGTCTCCTTTCCCTCCCAGTTCTGAGGTTCTGGGGTTCAGGTGCCCCTGACTCCTACAGACTAAGGCCCTGGCCCTGTCGTCATTCTGGTACAGGACCCCAACCGCCACCCTGAGGCATCTCCTCTCTTCTGGGAGCCCTCACTACGGGATTTTGAGGGCGTTTTTTAACAAGCACAGTACATCCACTGAGGCAATCAAATGTTTTCTGGCCACCCACAGAGTTAGTTGTCAGGGCACCTGGAGCATGGCCTGGGAGAAGCCTTCAGCTCTAGGAACAGACCCAGACAGGCCCAGGAGTAGGGTGGGGCAATGGGGACGGAGGAAAGAGCCAGAAGCAGATGGGAGCGTCAGGGGCTGGTACCCTAGTACTGTCATCCAGCCCAACCTGTGAGTCTGGGGTGCACACCCTGACTCAGACCTCCCCGACTCTCCTTCAGGTGTCCATGGCTGATCTCTGCTTAGTGCCTCAGGTGGCAAATGCTGAAAGGTAAGCGAGCTCTGCTACCCTCCCTCTTCCTCCCAGCTCCTCCCCTCAAAATGCCCAGCCTCCTTCCACAGTCAGCCCCCCCATTCCCCCACCCCACTTCAGCTACTGAGGTAGCCTCTCATGCAGAGACTGCCCAACTGGCCAAGGGGCCCCCTGTGCCAGGCCACACCAGCCACTGTGGCCTGGAAGAAACAGGACAGACGAAATTGGTGGAATGCCCCCTACCATGCCTTCCACAGCCTAGGTGATCCAGCACAGCCCCTGCTCCTAAGAGGAGGAGGCCCACCTGGTGGACACCCCTAGAAGAAACCACCCCAACAGCCTGCTATTCCCAGACATGGTGTGTCTGTGCCCAGCAGCGAGCTGTCCCTCTGCTCTCCTCCATCAGCCCTTCAATAGGGCATGACTGAGAACGCCTCTGGAAGGCACTGCATTGGGCACCCTTAGGGATACAGAAATGTACAACACATTCCCTGCCCCCAGGAAGCTTCTGACATGGGTGGAGAGATCATCTGTGTGTATAAATGCCTAGCACTGTGCCTTACACATAGTAGGTTCTCAATAAATATCCATTGCTTGGATAAGAACAGTAGGTAACAGAGATACCAGACAATACTGCACAAGAGCTACCCCTCCCGAGAGAGCTACCTGTGAATAAGGCTTTCCACCTGGCGGGGCCACCTTCATTGCCCTTCCCTGGCCAGCCCCAGGGAACTCCTCCAGCCCAGCCTCTGTGCTTCCCTCACCGCCCACAGGGCAGTCTCCCTGTACCCCTGCAAGACCTTGGCTGAGGTGGGTGTTTCTCTGCTACAGGTACAAGGTGGATCTCACTCCCTATCCTACAATCAACCGTATCAACAAGTCGCTGCTGGCCTTGGAGGCCTTCCAAGTTTCTCACCCCTGCCGGCAGCCGGACACCCCCGCTGAGCTGAGGGCCTAGCTCACAAACCATGCCCCGCTGGTGTGGGAGTAGAAGCTGTGTGGGCTGAACAGGCCTGGAAACAAGCAAGCCCTCTCCAAAGAGGCAGGAGACTTGCACTCCTCGCCCTTGAACTCTAGCCCTGAATCTGCCTTCACACTGAACCTTTCTGCCTTCTTTGTCCCATCTGAAAAATTGGGGCAGGATGGAGTGGGAGTACGCCGGGAGGGAGGGAGGCAAGAACATTACCTGCTACCTATGTCAACGGGGCAGTCATGAAGTGCGAATGTAGCCTAAAATGCCTGGCAAGTTTACCAGCGAGCCCCAAGGAAGTGTGAGTGCCTCTTCCCATCTCCTCCACTGTACCTGACTCCACAGAATGCCCACGCTGCAATTTGATGATTAAACTGAGGCCCAATCCCCCAGCTTGTTCAGTTAAGGCTGATGTTCAATTGTTCAATTAAGGCAGTTCCAGAAGATGAACGCTCTTTCCGGCCGGGATCCCTGTGTCTGGACCAGGAGAGGAAGTCAGCCAGCCCCTTGTCCATCCTTGGTAGGCCTGGCCCCTGGGACCTAAGGGCAGGGAAGAGAAATCAGCCCAAAAACCTGCCTGAGAGAATCACACAAGATCCGAAGATAACAGATATACGAAGCAGAAAAGGAAGTGTTTTGTGACCAGCTGAGTTCCCGGGACTAGGAATGGTACCACTGTAATGTTCCACTGCAGCACTGAGAGGAAAGTGGGCCCTTCCCTCCAGCCCCTCATCTTTAGGGGCAGCATCCTCTGGACTAGCCCCAGGATTAGGCACTCAGGGTAAATCCAGTCGCGAGTGAATGGCCCTGGAAACTGGACATAGCCTCCTCCATGGGCAGTGTGAACAGAGACTGAGAGACCGGGTAGCAGCTTACCTTTGGTTCCCATGTCTGGCCATGTTCAACCAGAACCAGCATCACCTCTTGGCAGAGATGTAGGGAGATTGGGGTCCCTTCTGGAGTGAAACAAAATGACCTTTATGTCCCATACCTGACATTGCATTTCCCCTGCGAGGCTGAGGTTTAAACAGGGAATTAAGATACATATGTCTGGTTCAAATGGAAGCCACATTTCTCGGCCATGAGTTCCTTTCTTCAGCCCCAATCCTAGGGGACCTAGTTCTCCCCTCATCCTGGGCTCCCTTGTGGCTTCTCCGTCTCTCTTAGATGACCTGGGTTTCAGGCTCCAGAATGACCAAAGTGGCCACTCTTGTTCATGAGGTGAATCTGTCCTGTCAGAGCCAGAGAGCATAATGAGAAAGTAGCTATGACACAGCAATGATGAGGGAGACTCTGTGGTACTTCCTGTCCTGCCCTGCTGCCACCTGGACCCTTTTCTCAGGTTACTCCAGACTTGCCTGGCTGGATGAGGCTCACCTGCACTTTCTCCAAGAAACCTGTGCTTGGAATGAGACTAATCTCCTTAGCTTGGTTATCAGTAATCACCTGATTTCAGGCATTTGAAATAGGCGATTAAAACTCCTGTGGGTTTGAAAGACAATGAACTTGGAAGAGGGCAGCCCTACTTCAGGCCATGCTCCTACAACTCCCGCAGCCATGTGCGTCCCTGGTCCTGGAGAGACGACATCAGCAGGCAGCAGCAGGCAAGCCCCAGGGGCTAGGCTTGGCCAGATGCGATGCCGCTGCCATGTCCCCGGGATTAAGAAAGCAGCTGGCTCTGCCTCTTGCCAACAGGCCTTTGGGAGCCCAGATGACCTGAAACAGTTTTCAATACTGCTGAGGTTACCAGGTTCCCCCACCCCTTTGTCCTTCCAGCCTCATCTCCAGGCAACAGAGAAACCCAAGAGACCTCAGGGAAGTGAGGGAACTAGATAGACTCCACACCTAGGACAAGATTCAAAAACAGACAACCTGAGACCACTCCCCCTGCCCTGAATGAGTCTAGAGAGAACTAGGTATAATGGGGTGAACCAGGATTATTCCTAGAAGAAAACACTCTGCTGGCTGTCCTACTCCAGCTAGTAAATGGACTTACCACTTCCCTCCATCCTGCCCACCAGCAGGCAGTGAGTCCTCCCAGGTGATGCCCATGGGCTGGGAGCTGGGATATGTGGGAATGTGATAGACATGGCCCCTGCTCTCACTGACCTTACATCCCTCTACTTAACTCCTAGAAATTCAGTCGGCCAGCTCTGACTCTACCATTCAACATTGTGGGTCTGTTGCCTATCTGCTTGTCTCTGATCCAGATGACATTCAAGGAAAAATTGCCATATTTCAACTCAGGTCTCTTCCTAGTCAGTATTAAAATATTAACCTGTTTAACCTGGGGCTCCACTAGCCATCCTAAAACTGATGGCAAAAGAAATCTAGATCATGTAAAGAGGCTATACAGCCACTGTTATCAAACATTTAGAAACCATGCCTCATCGAATGCACAAAACTCATTTTACGTATTTTCCCCATAGTTGTCACAGTTCAGGTCCTCTACATCAATAGGACTTTCCTGATGTGTCAAATGAAACCTGAAAATCAGCCCTGAGTGGGTGGAAAGGGTAAAGAACAAAGCCTACGGCTTTTCCTCTGGATTTAGCAGAGATCTTTGGAGTCCATGACATTTCTGAGGCTCTCCATTCTCACTGGTTTTCCTCAAACCTTCCACCCCCAAACCCAGACAAACCTGTCCCTCCCCACAAAAACATAAATGTGTTTGAACCAAAGAAACTCACTCTAGGCTCCCTTGAGGTGACTCACCTGGAAAGTGCTGGGTTCCTGCAAGCATCCTCACACCAATTGCCCAGAGGAAGTGACTGACCAAACCTTTGTGGTTCTCAGCTGCACTGGCTTTAGGAGGACAATAGTCCATCTCCTTGTCTCAGGATGTTTTTGTACAGATTTTAAAGCTAGGACCTAAGCCACAGGAGCTCTCCAGTCCGTAGCCACACAAGCTGGTCTCAAGGCTAGGGCTGGGAACCATCCTTGCCGCCGTCTTCACCTAGAACCAAGGAGAGAGCCAACCCAGAACCATCAGCTCTCCAGGGCCTGCAACAACTTCTCTGGTGTCTCCCATGGACTTCAGGAACTAGGGCTGTGAGGAATCGAGGGGAGCAGTGTAGATGGAATTGGGAGGGTTGCAGAGAAGGCAGGTCCAGGAGGGCCGCCAGCTCAGGGTAACTGAGGGATGGAAAACGAGTGTGTGCTGGGGGAGGAGCGGGCAGTGGGATGAGTAGAGGTTGTGGCCTCATTGACTGACCACAGCTAATGAGAAAGACCAGTCTGGTTTCTGGGCCTGCAGTTTGGAGTTGGAGCGAGGCTGTCATGTGTTACCAGCCCTGGGGCCTCCACGCAGTCCAGGCCGTCAGCATGGTTAGCTGCCTGGCTATTAAATAACGTAGAGACCTGAGATTTTGCCAGCTTCAGCTGCTCCCCATAGGGAACCATTTTCCAGGGGCCTGGGGCAGGCTACATGGGAGAAAGGAGACCCTACTGCTCTATTCCCAGCGAACTCAGCTATGCTTTAGGGAATAAGAGAAAGCATTTCTACACCATCTTCCATGCAGTAGAGCAGAGTTCCCCCAAGCTCCTCTATAGGCAGCACTCCTGACCTGCCTTGTTACCCCAGGACCAAGCAAGGTGATTAGCCTGGCTCTGTAAGTGCATGTTAAATTGAAAGAGATCCTTCCTGTAGAACTGTGGCTTGGTACCCCTTCCCTTCCCTGAATTTCTCTCTCCCATTCCCATGAAAGAGCAAATACTTCTCAAAGTGCAAAGACTTTTTTCTAGAGGTCAGACCAAATAGCTCCAAGGCTTAGCAATAATGAAGCTTCTGTCAGGTTTTGAAGACTACCTCCTCTGCGACCCCCTCGAGCCTGCAAATAAATTCTTCTTTTCAGGGGTCAGACGTATCTCTTAATTTCAAACCATCACCTCTTTAGGGGCTATTTCCTAGCAGGTGCTTCTCTCCCAAGGCTGAGTGGGTGGTAGAAGTCAAGTCCTTCTTCATCTCCATTAGTTGTTAGGTCTGTGAAGATCAATCTGCAGGCGCCTGATCCTGGTATGTCAGAAGCAGCAGGAGACGTGACCTGCGGTCTTCCCACAGGGGAAGTGGCCACGATGGATGAAGAGCAGGTTTTGGAGTGGCCTGATACTGGTAATTAGATGGAAATCGTCCTAGCAAATGCCTCAGAATGATAAAAGCAGGAAAGAGGTGCTGCCAGGAAATACTTGAGAACAAAGCAAAATATAGGATTCTGTTCCAAAGCAATTTTGCATATTCATTAAAGAAAGTAGTAAACTTACTTGACAAGCAGGTGGATACACATATTCATAAGGTAAGTATTCATTTTATTGGCTCCTCCTAACTTTTTTTTTTTTAAGATTTTATTGGGGAATTGGGGGAGGGGAACATGTTGCGTTGGAGGAATCGGGAAAGGGGAATAGACAAGTTGCTGTCCTTTTTGTTCTTCAGTCTAGTTGTGGAGGGCGTCACTTCACTGGCCCATGTTGGTATTATCATTGCGCTCTTCCCGGGTGAGGCAGATGGGTTGCCGGCCACTAGACATCCGCTCATGGTGGCTCACGGCCGCTCACGCTGGCTGCCGGCCACACACAGTAGCTTATGGCAGCCCACTGCAGCCCCACTGCAGCCTATGCCATCGCCGGTGACTCACGGCAGCCCAGCTCCAGGTTGAATTGTTGTTCACCATCTTAGCTACAGAGGGCACAGCGTCACTGGCCCTCACGTGGGATCCGAACCGAGGCCCTGCTGCTGAGAGCCAGCATCCCAAGCCATCTCTTAACCAATGCACCACTCAGTCAACCTGGCTCCTCCTAACTTTTAAACTTAACTTCTTTAGCTCTTGATTCCAAGGTCACAG